ACCCCTATAAAAAAAATATATATACTTTCAAACACATTAAAAATTACCCTTTTTTTACCATAGTAAGTTTACTTTTTTCAATGCAAACATCAAGTTTAACATTAAACATTTAAATTATAGTTTAGGTTAGTGGCATTGCTACTTTTATTTATTTACCAACTCAGACAATCATACTCTAGGAACCACTCTGTAAAGACCAAACTGTTGATAAAAGTTTTAATGTGCTTTAACAAGAAATGAAGTGTTAATTGACTGGAAGCATTTAAACAAAGAAAAGTGTCTTCTCCTGCAGTTGAACTTTTTCTCTTGAAAAACTTGGTAGCGTTTCACAGAGATACATATTGTGTCTTCAAAGTATTAGCACCTTTCACTTTGTTCACACTTTATTGTTACAGTATTTTTATCTCAACTTGCACACAAAACACCTATACAAACCAAAGGGGAATATAATCTTGTATAGCTGCAAAATAAACAGGTTTATCAGCTTTTAAAGAAAGGAAACACAATCAGAAGTTGTGTACGCCCAATTAAATTCTTATGTCTCAAATTCATCTGTCAATTGGTAAAAGTTAAACAGATTAGACCCTTTTATGATGGGGTGAGAGGAAGAGCAGGACCAGGAACCATTATTCTCCAAACCCATTTTTCTCCAAGGTTGTTGAGATTTATCCTTGGGTCACTGCACAAGTAGCACAGTTATATGCATATCAACATTCACAAGCTAGTTCTATAATTTTTTCTACTTTTAAAGAAGTAGTTCATTCAAAAATGAAAATTTGCTATCACAGATGTTGATGAATTTGTTTCTTGATCAGAACAGATTTTGCTCACCAATGGATCCTCTGCAGTGAATGGGTGCCGTCAGAATTAGAGTCCAAACAGCTGATAAAAAAACTTTGCAATAATCCACAAGTAATCCACTCCAGTCCATTAAAGTCATTAATTGATGGACTGTAGTTATGTGGATTATTGTGATGTTTTTATCAGGTGTTTGGACTCTCATTCTGATGGCACCCATTCACTGCAGAGGATCCACTGGTGAGCATGTGATGTAATGCTAAATTTCTCCAAATCTGATGAAGAAACAAATTAATCTACATCTTAGATGGCCTCAGGGTGAGTAAATGATTCAGTAAAGTTTAATTTTGGGGTGAACTCTTCCTTTAATGTGCCCATCTGTCAGGGTCAAGGTCACACAGTACATACTTACAGTACAGTTTCTCTGTGAATCTGTGTGATATGAGACTGACTCCAGGATTTCCGTTGACAGGGAACTTCTTCTCACACTGGCCCTTGGCCAGGTCTTATCACTGCTCATCTGTGGGATTGGCCTGACCAGCAAATACCTGGCGGATGATTACCACGCCAACACCCCGGTGTTTCAGAGCTTTCTCAACTACATCCTGCTGTTCCTGGTCTACACCACCACACTCGCAGTCAGGCAAGGTAAGGGTGGCTCCTTGAGGTTTCTGTGCAGTTTAATAAAAACACTGTCAAATGGAAACATACCGTGAGGTTATCTGTAAGACAAGGTGATGATAAGACCATAGGAACATACATTTTTTATGAGAGACTGTCAGAAAAAGGTTATTCAAAGTTTTTTCATTATATTTCTCTTTTCTGTCTCGAGTGTGACCTCTTCTGGGACTCTGGCAGAAACTTTCAAAACTACTAGCCTGTTTCTATTCAGAAATATGTCAGTCAGGCTGTGTAGATGGCTGTTTTTAAAAAAAGGAAAAAGGAGACCTGCCTTTGATGCTTATATTTTTTATTTAAGTTATAGTTTTATATTACTGTATTGTTAAATTACAGACAAATTCTCTTATATTTTAGTTAATATAAATTCTCTTTAGTTAATGTTAATGTTTAGTTAATGTGTAATAGAATGTCCACTTGTTTAGTTTAGTATATATTATAAATATTAATAAATGGTTTAAAGGGGTCATATGATGTTGCTAAAAATAACATTCTTTTGTGTATTTGGTGTAATGAAATGTGTTTATGTGGTTTAAGGTTAAAAAAAAGGTTATTTTCCACATACTGTACATTATTGTTTCTCGATTTTTACAAAGCTCATCGTTCTGAAAAGCGAGGTGTGCTCTGATTGGCCAGCTATCCAGTGCGTTGTGATTGGCCGAATACCTCAAGCGTGTGACGGAAATGTTATGCCCCTTACCATACTGTGATGTTGAGTCCCGGCTGGAGCAACGAGACAAAAACATTCAAACCCATTATAAACGAGGCATTTGTTGCATCCAGTGGGGACATAATTACGGATTATAATGACTGTCTTTTTACACGTTGCGTTGCACCGCATAAACATAAAACCATGTCTGCATTTGTGATCGGAGAAATAACAAACTTACTCTACACTGCTCAAAACTTGCGTTTGAATCATCAGTGGCAAATTCTTTAAATATAAAAAACGTACTTACAGTCTGTGAGTCAGAACAGCCGACATTGTAGTCTACTCTACCAGGATCAGTAAACAGTCCTCCAGTCCTCCAGTCCTCAGCTTGTAACACTCCAAAGAGAAAGGAAAAATTGAAATCGCATCATATGACCCCTTTAAATATCATTCATTTGAAAAATTTCAAATTTGCATTTACTGAACTAAGTAAATGTGGACAAATAGTCTGTCCTTTATTTTATAGTTCTAAATGAAACATAGGAGTGCATAATAAGCCCCGTCTTGATGTTGATGTAGTAATTATACGTTTCATATTTCTAAGCATTTTCACTTCATGTCTAGATGGCAAGTCAGGTTACAGGTGTTGTGCTCAGGTTTTAGTTCCTAATTGATTTCATGTTGAGCTTCGTGTGCAAGCAGAAAGCTTTGACACAATGTTTTCTGGCACACTTTCAGCAGGCTAAGAATAGAAATGAAAAAGAGTCGTGTTCTGAGCTGAGAAATATGCCAACTCAGTCTATTTATAACAGATCACATGTGATTCCCTGACTAACACTCTTTTTATACAGAAATCAGTTTGTTCTAATAAGTGCCTTTAAAATAATTAATGGATTAGTCATTTTTTGAAGGCTAAATGATTTTGGATGAAAATCTTTGCTGCGCTGCAATCGCCATGAGCTTTCATACTTTTATACTATAAATATTACACAGAGTACATTATTCAGATTGGTTAATCAAGCAAATATTTTTGTATAATGCTGCTAAACTCTGTTTGTTATTTGAAATAGAATATTTCCATGAAAATGCAAGATTTTATGTCTATTTGATTGGTAAGTAATCATGTCATAGGTTCAGTCAGATGGACATGTCTAGCTGATCGCTTATCACTTTTTCACTTAGAAAATTTGTGCAGTTTTGGAGACTTTGAACTAGTTTAGTTTTGGAGACTAACTTTTATATAAATGATAAACTGTGTATGTGCATATATGTATATGTATATATATATATATATA